GTGGAATAATATGCCTGCAGGCACATCAGATGATTCTGCATGTGTCTTAGTGGAAAAACCACTTTCATCTGCTTTGGATCAGGTACCAGTCGGGCAGAGTCCACTGCGACTGGGATTCTGCTGAGCTTGCAGGATGTGGATAGGGTTCTCCGTGGTATGAACTCTGTCACCTGCCCCTCCTGGCTCCCTCAGACAGCTAAGCAGGGCAAGACTGGATGGACCTGGGAGATGGTCAGAGCTTTTTCGAAGAAGGTATACTCTGATTTCTCTTTTATTACGCAGGAAAGTTTTTTTGAAGAAGCGTATAATGCCATCTGCACTGAAGAAGCTGGTAATATACCATCATTCACAGCTTCTGTCCTGTCTCCAGGCTCCCCCTTTTAGGTTTAAACTGGTGAGAAGGTGGTGGGGATCAGCTACAAAGGATCCTAGAAAAGATCAGTTATTTGGAACTCCATCAGTCAGAGTTCAGGCCTGGACCTCGGATAGAAATGACAGCGGTTGATGACCTTCATCAGCATCTGGGTGGAGGGGGGAGTGCACCCTGCTCGGTCCCGTGAGACCTCTTAGTGGCATTCGGTACCATCAGCCATGGCATCCTTCTGGAACGCCTGCAGGTCTGGGGAATTGAGGGCGCTATCCTGTGGTGGTTCTGCCCCTACCCGAGCTGGTGGTTCCACTTGATAGCAATGGGGGAAGCGCTCTGGCTCTCGGTTCTCAGCCGTGGGCTTTCTCAGGGCCCGGTGCTCTCTCCACCTTGCTCAACATCTCTATAAACTGCTGGGAGAGGTCACCTGTCGGTTTGGGGTACGGTGCCATCAGAACGCTGATGTCACCCAGCCATGCATTGGAAATGCTGTGGAAGGCCTGGACTGGCGTCTGGAGGCCGTTGGGGCTCAGATGGGGTGAAACAGGCTCAGGCTGAACCCGAGAGAACGTTGTTTGCCGCCCTCCGTTAACCTTGGTCCCGGCAGTTGCTCTGGGTGAGTCACACTAGTTGGTTCATGGCTTGGGGGTCCTTCTGGAGTTGGGGCTCACGCTGAAGCAGCAGGTGGAAGCTGTGGCGGGGGGCCTTTCCCAGCTTTGGCGGTGGGCCAGTTGCCACCCAGCTATAGCAGGACATCCCAGCGACTGGGACTCGTGCCCTGATACCCGCTCGTCTGGACTACTGCAATGCGTGCCACGTGAGACTGCCTTTGGAGACAGTTCACAAGCTTCAGCCGGTCCAAAACGGGGTGCGACGCCTCTGCCACTGCAGGACAACACCAATCCTTAGGTCAGCGCACTGGCTCCCAGGCCCAGCGCATCACCCTAGACGCCTTTACGGTGCAGCGCCGGATTCGGTCGGGCAGCGCCCGGCCAGAACTGAACCCGCCTGCCCTCCTGGCCCAAACGTCTAGAGCCGGGGTGCTCGACCTGGGTCCACGCTGGGGGTCTGCGGATAGATTTCAGGGATCCGTGAACTTGGCCGGGAGGAAGCTACAACTTGATTTTCACATGTATTAGCCTATTGCGTTATTTGTGATTTTAAAAATATTTGGATAACTGGATTTGGGCATATTTGGTTTCCTTTAAAATCTGTCTCTGTTTTATTGCGTGCGGGTTCTGAGCGCGCGTTGTATGCGCTTTTCTTAGAAGGTCGCACAGACGGTTTCATCCGGCTGTCTAAGGGATCCGTGGCAGAAAAGGCTGAGAACCTCTGCCCCAGAGGAGGCTGCTGAGAACCCCCCCGTGAGAAGCGTGGAGAGGGTGGGCTTCCCTGTCCAAGAACGCGCTTCCCCCGGCAGGACTCTCGGTTCCTTCCTTCCTTCCTTCCTTCCATCCATCCATTTTGCCAGGCACTTAAAGCCGGACTATTCAACACGCATTCTGAGTGGTTGGCTGCATGAGCTCATCCTGAACAAGTATGAAAGCTGTTTTTATTCCATGGATTCCCGTCTTATTTGGCTTTTTGTTCAGCACCCAGTTGCAATGAGTGGGGTAGTCTATGAATTTTGTAAAATAAATAGATGAATTAATAAAGTGTGTTTTTTTTAAAAAAAATATCGCTACTGTATCCATCAAAAAATGTGCAGAGGTGAAAAAAAAAAAAAGGAAACCAAAGTAATCTTATAAGGAAAAAAAAAAGTGCCGCCCCTTTTCCACGGTGTAACTATTATACTTACAGTAACCCAGTGTTTTCCACCCTTGCCCGCTGGAAGGGGCGTGGGCTTCAACCCCCAGAATTCCCCAGCCAGCAAGGAATTCTGGG